TGCCATGAAGAACAGCTTCTCATAAAAATACAATCGCTGTTCGGAGTCGGCATAAAATTGTAGGTCCCTGCCCTTTGTGTGACAACATCAAGATGCACGCCACAAATGTATAATAATATATACTTTTTAATTAGTTAATTGGGTTATACCCCTCAAATAGGTGGTAGACCTCTTCAAAAGTATTTTCAAGCTTAATCATTGTTAACTCTCCTTCGCCGGACACATATTTTAATTATCTGATGGATTTAATGGAATTTTAATTGTAAAACATGTGGCAACCCCGCTAAATACAGTTAAAAAATAAAAAATTTTCAAACCCCCTTCGATTGATACTCATATTTTAATTATTCATATAACTTATGAAATAATTTGAATTTAATTTTTAAACAGGTGGCAACCCTCTTCCTACACCTCAAAAATATTCTTACCGTTCAAACTAAATATTTCTTAACACTCCTTCGTTTGACATCCATATTTTAATATTTCGTATAACTAGTGTATAAGTAAACTAAATTCGACATTTTGAGCAGGTGGCAACCCTATTAAAAATATTTTCAAACTACTACTTTCTGAACCCCTTTTCGGTTGGTACCCATAAGTTAATACATATTTTTCTTACCTAATCGGATTTTTAAACAGGTGGCAACCCGCCTATAGTTCAGCTAAGAAATAAAGCTTTTCAAGCCCAGTTCGGTTGATACCCATTTTGTAATAATTGATTTCTTTTTTTTTAATAATTCGGATATAATTTTTTAAATGGTGGCAACTCTTTTCAAAAAAATAAAACCTTATTGTACATACAGTTCAAGCCTTTTAATTTGACACCTCATTTTGGAAAATCAATCAATTTGAATTTAATTGTTCAACTGGTTGCAACTCTTCTCCAAAAAATAAAACCACAACTGTAGACCAAGCGCTTTAATTTGACACCCCATAATTGAAAATCGAGCGAACGGTGCAGATCTTTTATCCTGAACAAAAAATTTCTGCGGGTTATCAATTTGTATTATGCATAGTTTATATCCTTTCCTTAAAACTCGTACATAGTACATTATTTTATTGTTATTATTGGTATTGAAGCAGAACAGTTTCATGTCATCCAATTTTTAAATTAAAATATGAAGGAATCCTTTCATTTAACTGCATGGCTGCCTTTGGAGCCACCTTCCGTCTCACTGAAGTCAAGTTCCAAAACTTTATTCACCGCTAAAACTCCTTACGTAAATATACGGCAGTCTTTAAGCTGGCTAATAATACCCAATTACTGATCTTACTGCTTTCATCGTTTGTTAACCACACGTGTTTCAACATTTAAAAGAATTAAAAGACAATGAAGGCCAATACCAAATATCTCACGTTTCAATTTCAAATATTTTTCAATTCGAAACAAGATGAAATTTACTATTAAGTAAAAATTTTTATTTTAACACCTTTTTAGTGGCCTTCATACAAAATGCAATAAATACTAATAGCGAAAATTCATTCGTTTTCCAATAGTGTCAATAGCAAAAATGCTCGAATTCAAGCTCGAAAGCAATAATTTTAGTTAGGAGGTAAGTCAGCGTTTAACACCCACTGAAATATAAATTTTACATTTTTGTTTTTTATATGTATGTATCTACCAAAATAAAGTTGCATTTATGAATGTACAACAAAACAAAAATTATATATGTACATATTTCATTAGCGTAGGAACCAATAATAAAAAGCAACAATAATTTTTTTAGCCAACTGTTTTTAATTATATATTTTTAAATATTTTATTTTTTTGGAATTTCAACGTGAGCCGCGATAAAATCATGAATTTCAATTGGAAATATATTAATAAAAAGTGTAATGTTGTGCAGAAAAGTGTTAGAATACAAAAAAATAAATCAGCACTGAATATATTTAAACATAAATACTCGTATGCATATGAATTTCTTTTTCTCTAAATTTTTACGTATAAAACCACCGATAATTCCCGCAATAAATTAAGTTAGCCCAAATAAGCACATAAGTAACGATTAATTACAAAGTAGCTATCCTCTTTTTTAGCATTTTTCTTTCTCGCAACTATTGCCAATTAATTTGTATGACCAGCTGCGCCTACGTCAATAAGGTAGATAACACACGCTTTCACACTTACCATTCGTATGTACCTACTCATAAATACTTGGTTTGCTCATAAATGGAAGGACATAAACAAGCCTTCGGAATAGCGTACGATGAAAGGTAGCAATGCAAAAGCTTTTTCTAAGCATTCGTCTGTAAAATTCCAAAAGCTAAAGTCAACTTTCTCATGTAAACACCCGAAAAGTACTTTTTTCCAAACTTTCTGAAATCATTTTTGGAAATAAAACTTGCTTGTTGCTTTCTAGGAATAATTTAAATGTGCTCATGCTGAACTAGCAACTTAATTTTTTACACTTGCAAGTGAAATTTACTGCAATAACGTGTAAATAAACATAAAGTAATTTCAGAAAGTTCACTTTTCTGAAATTAAAAACTGCCATTAAACATTCAAGGTTTAACTGCTTTTGCAAACACTTTATTATTTAGTTAGTCAAACTTTTCAGAACTACTTTCACTTGCCACATCTAAAAGCTACTTAATATGTAGTAATAAATATGAGTATCAACAAGCTGCTTATATAAGTATATATGTACATATGTAGGGCCTTGCTCTAAGGAACTGCACTCAAGAAGCCTAATGTGGTCGCTGTGGCAGTTAATAAAAAAAAAAATTAACTGACAGGAGTGCCGGTCGGTTTATTTTAACTAAACTTGTGTAATATGTATTCATTGTTTTTTCCTTTTATTATTATTTTTTTTTAAGTTAAGTTTGCTTGTGATTGACAATAATCATTGATGGTGATTGTAATTTCACCCTGCTCCTAAACGACTCTTTTATATTAGGAAAAATATACGACTGGATTGTTCTGATAGAAATCTCTATAACACCTAATTGAAAAACTCGTATGACCTGACAACAAGACAATATAAAACAAGTATTTTTAAGCAAAAACCAAAACCGATTTCAATTCTCATATAAAAATTTAAAGTACCGTTAATTTCGTCATGATTCAATGATTTGAGCCAAACCAAATTAGTATGCATCTTTCCTTACAAAAAAAAAAAATAAATTATAGAAGTCAGTTAACGTGGACCAAAGTTATGCGGTAATATAGATACATAAAAACAAACAAAAATATTCCGCCGAATTAATAACCTCCTCCTTTTGAAGTCGGTTAGAAATATAAAGGTTTCAACATATATCGTGTATATAAATTTAAAAATCACCGCAATTTAATGTTTTTAGAGTTTTGATAGTTTTTTGATTTCTTGAAGTTTCCTCTTTTTAATAACTTGAGTGGAATTCCAAAATTTTGTAAACTTTCAAAACTTTGTGAATTTAAGAAATTTTAGTAAATCCCAATAATTTAATATAATGATGAATACTAGATTTCTAGAAATTTTTTATTTTTCAAAAATTTTGAGAATTGTAGGAATTCTAACAAATTTTTTCTATTTTTTCGAATGTTGAAAACATTTTCATATTTCGTCGTTTTTGAAATATTAAAAAATTTTCGTAATTCTTGAAGATTCAAAAAATTTTTTGACGTAATGTTTTCAAAATTTTCAAAAAATTTAAAATTCTCAAACTTTGTTATATCAATACAAAATTTTGGGAAAGTTCAGTAGAACAATTTTTGAATTTTTCAAAAATGTTATTATTTTTTAGAATTCTAAGAGGTTCATAAGAGTTTTTCTACAATTTGTGATGTTTCACATTTTTACATTTTAGGATGGATTTTAGGATAAATAAAATTCTCAAAATTTTGGAAAATATAAAAATTTCTAAAATCTCAATAATTTTGTACATTTCAAAATATTCTCATTTTACCAAAATTTCTAGAATCTCGCGGATTTCGATAGTTTTTGAAATTTTGGAAATTATCCTTAAGAAATCTCATGAAATTTAATAATATTATAAAATTCAAGATTTTGAATTGTCAGTTTCTATGTACGTGTGTATGTATGTATTTACATTAGACTGGGTTGGTGCCCAACCAAAAATAATATAAATATGCTATGACCATTCAGACCCCCCCAATTCATCTTACCTTTTTATTTAAGCCTCGATTTCAAATGTCGTTGAAAAGATAACATTAAGAAAAGAATACGTCGAAATACATATAGGAGATTCACAAGACGTGTTAGCCGTCATAAAATCTTAGGCTTAACATTTTTTTATTTAAAATACTGATTAAAATTATTTTATAGGATTTCTAACTATTTACACCGAAATATTTTTAAACTGATAAAATATATCTAATTATTTATTATTTTACATAAAAAACGTACATGTTTGTAGCACGTTTAGTGAATCCTCTAAAAGGGTTATTAGAATATAGTAGACGAAGGAGGTACCTACTCTAGTTCTACTCTAAAGAACATGCATGTGAATATACATATGTGGGTGTTCCAACAATGCTCCACCTGAGTAATAAAAAGTAAGAATTAGAACAAGCATTTTCTTCTTATTCTTGTTTGGCATCTACATACAGCTACAAAATCTCACAAACGCTTAATTTGCGTGATTCATGCTTAACGTGCACACAAAATGCATTAACCGCAGGATTGCAACAAAAGTGCACATATGACTATGTGTTGAAAATTATGGCACGTTTCGAAGGGCTTCTATGGTAAATGTGATAGAAAACTAACCAGTCAAAAAGTATTCACCATTTGGCAAGAGCACGTGCTTCGCTCTGTAAGTCGTCGGTATGTGTGCTGGTGATTTGAGAAACTCTACACTGAGAGAATAGTTTAGCTACGTCAACTAAATATATCTACATCAATTTTTAAACTACGTCCAAATTGTGTGCTAAGCGTAATACATATATTTATTTAACGCTTCTAACATTCATATATTTTAAAAATATTTTCTACACATTTATTTCACTACCTGAAGAGATTTGCAAACTAACGTAACATTTTCTTCACCCTCCATTACAGATGATTTTGCGGATAACAGCGGTTACGCTCTTGTTAGCGGTCTGCCTCAATGATGCCGTAGTCGTGAAGTCACGAAGAGAGGGCTTTGATAGCTATGGCCCTCCACCACCACCCCGACCAGCGCCACAGTATGGTCCCCCACCGCAACAACATCAGCCACATCGCGAATATGGTGTGCCACAACAAATACCGTTCCGTGAGTATGGACCACCAGCGCTCAAATATGGGCCACCCAAGTTTATTAGCGGTGGTGGTAGTAGCAGCAACAGCTTTAATAATGGATTCCAT